TATGTTCTGGCTGCTATCGTTATTTTCATTCCATTCATCGTCATCAGTTTCTGTTACTTTCAAATCGTTCGTGAGCTGTATTTCAAGAACAAAGTCGGACCACAGAACGTAACAACTGCATCAGAAGATAACATTGCTAAGCGTAAGCTCGTAAAGCTTTCTCTCTCGATTACTTTGGCTTTTTTTGTCTGTTTCTTTCCTATGGCTGTGTCATTGTGCCTGATAGCTTATGACAAGGAAAAATATGTAAGTAAATACAACAAAAATATTTCTTCTCTCTTGTACGTACTAAAGTTGGTTTTAAATCCATTCCTGTATGCATTTCAAAGCACCAATTTTCGGCAGGCTTTTAAGGAAATGCTCAAGTCTAAACTGTGTTGCTGCTGCAAATAATCAGTTATATTGAATAATTACATGATCATCCCGTTTATATAGAAAACGCTCTTTCGAGTTATATATATAGCTTTATAATTTAGTACGAAATGTAACGTTTTATCAGTTTGTTTAAAAAAAGTATGGAGCTATTTTGTTTGCGTATGTGTTTATTTAAGGTAGCTTTACAAACAGTAGGTTTAGAAACATTGTTTAAGGACAGTATGTCAATCTCAAGACTAGTGCTCTAGTTTCTTTTCGTGAGACCGTCAATTTTGAGGTTCCGTGGGTCAGCCCTTCACATAAACTGAAACTGAAATGAATGAATCTCTTGTAAAGTCACTATAGTGTCAAACAGGTGAAAAGCGATAATAAGTGATATTATAAAATAACTGTTATTAATCTCGCGTTCTGATTGGTTGGAAGCGCGTGCTTTATATGACAGCATACAGCACACGCGCGCACTTTCAGTTGCATCATTTCTATCTAAAATAAGGGTTATTGTAATTTGTATTTTATAAGATAAATAAAAAACTTTCTTGCTGTGCTGTGTGCATAAAGTACTTGAAATTTGCAGAACACTCGAAAAGAGTCCAGACGCACTCCGCTATGCGTCGTGCTTCTTCTAACACTTCTCTCGTGTTCTGCCAGACCCCGCGTGCTTTATAACTGCACACAGCACGCGCGCGCGTTTTCTATTTCTTCAATACAATTGTGTCATTGTCTTTTCTTTGATTGGTTGCTAGCATTCTGTCGGCCCAACCCTCGAGAGCGTGTTCCTTGACACGAGAAATGTATTTCCATGTATTAATGTAAATTTATTTGTTTATCTGTAGATGATCGCAATCGAAAACATGACTTGTTTCTTAGTTTGCTGCTGTTCAGACCTTTTGGTCAATAATCATTTCAATGTCACTCAAGGTCACACTCAATATTGAATTACGGGTTGCCCTCAAAAGCGAAAATGAAACTTTATTATTACTATTATACCTCATCTTGCGTTTATCTTCATTAAAAACTTTTTAATTTAACCTAATCATGGTTTCTAGAAAATACGATGCAATTTATACAAATTCGAAACGTCGTTCATGCAGTCAGTTAGTTTGAGCTACGCTGGCATAAACAAATAACATAGTTTTTTTGAAAAAAAACATCTGTTCGCACAATATCAAGCAAAAAAGGAAAACTAACTAAGCTACGAAAAACAAAGTTTGGGTTGACTGAAGAAAAATTTAAATCGATTTTGAACGGCTCAAGCAAGGCCCTGCAAGGGTCAATGAGAAAATTTTTTGATCAATAGTTACAACTTGTACATCTAAATGAAATTTCTTCATCAAGAACACAAAATTATGATTATGTTTGCTTTGGAGTGTAAATACTGTATTTTGTACTCCTTGAATTTAAGATTTCGCTATGATAATAGTTATTACTATTATTATAGTATTAAAGAATAAGCCACATGAATATTTGATGCAATTTTGATGCAAGTTGTTTTGGTTATAATTTATTTGTAAGATGAGTTAGTATATGATGCAGTTTGGGGCATGGACTGAGTCCAAAATAAATTTTGATGAAGTAAAATAACTGTTATAAAGCAGGTTATGTTATTGGTTGCAGGGCGCGTTCAGGGACACAGTCCCAACACTCGCTTTGATATTTCAACATTCTTATCCAAACGAATGGCTTTTCCAATTCTCATTTTAAATGTTTTGTATGTCATTGGAGATTGGAATACGCATTCTCCTAACATTTCTTTTCTTTTATCAATCGTGGCGCGCTATATTTGAACAGCAAACAGCACGTACCCGCATTTTCTATTTTTCTAATAAATAACAAGCTAGAGCATTCCTTCTGTTGCTACGTTATAGAATTAGCTATATTTCAATATAAAGTCACAGTTATTTGCCTTTCATTTAAAACCACCTGCTTTATATATTTCTGGATTAAGGAAAATCTTTTTTATCACAAATATGGGGATGCATAATGATATTCGCTTTCTATATTAGATTTGTCGAGAATGACGAGCTTACTTGCCTTCACTACAGATGCACATTTTTCTTTCTTTATTCTTCTTTTTCGCTAGTACGTTTTTATCAGTTGACTAATAACGATAAACTATAAGACCATGGGAAATCAGATTGTCAACGCATTTTTAAAAGTTCTTGGCCCTCTATTATTTCTTATTGGTATCATTGGCAATTTCCTGATCGTAATAGCGGTATGGAAAAAAAGATCGTTGCGATCGACGGCCAATTATCTCTTGCTAAACATAGCCGCTGCAGACATTATTTGTTTGGTGTTTTTGCCTTTGACGCTGGTTGAGAAGTACTTGAGTTTCCAAGGCCTTTTTTCGGACGTTCTCTGCAAATTTTTCGTATCATTCCACGTGCCTCTCACTGCAAGTTTTGCATCGATTCTTACCCTTGTTGTACTGTCTGTGGAGAGATACCACGCAGTTGTAAAACCACTAAACGCTGGAAAAAGACTACGAGAGGGCACTGTGAAATACGCCATTATTGCTGTATGGATAACAGCAATATTGCTCACTTTACCAACTTACATTTATAGCGTTTACCAAAATACTTCAAAATGTGATTATAGCCTTCAAGAGAAATATCAAAAGATTTATGTGAGCATTCTCATGTCCCTAGCTGTTTTCATTCCATTCATCGTCATTATTTTCTGCTACTTTCGAATCATTCGTGAGCTGTACTTCAAGAACAAAGTTGAGCCACAGAACGTAGCAGCCGAAGAAGATGCTCGTGCTAAGCGTAAACTCGTCAAGTTCTCTCTTTCGTTAACATCAGCTTTCATCCTTTGCTTCTTTCCTCTTACCATAACAGTTATTCTTGATAAACTCTATGGCGGATTCGCAACCAAAATATATAATTACACAGGATTTATATTTGTTCTGCAGTCGGTTTTGAATCCCTTTCTGTACACATTTCAAAGCACCAATTTTCGTCAGGCTTTTAAAGAAATGCTCAAGTTTAAACTGTGTCCCTGCTGCAAATTAAATTAGCTACTATTATCTAAGCATAATTGGTAAATCTTCACTCGATTTTTTCACTTAGTGTTTATCATTATTCGTATTTTGTTGTTGTTATTATAATTTAAATTTTTGTTAGGGTGCACTTAATTTGGAGCCAAGCTCTGTTGTGCTTACCCCTTCCATGATAGCTTAGGAACTTAGATAATTGTCATGGATAAAGTTATGTAAATAAATAAATAATAAGACCTTTTGACAAATTACATATAGTTATCTAGTTAATTAGGTCAACTAAATGTCGACCTTATATAATGTACATGCATACATTTAGTATTCAAACCTCACCAACGTACTCATGCAGAAATCGCTTGCAAAGGGAATTTTAACTGATGCTTTTGAGGCCTTTGCCCAAGCAATCTTGTCCGGGTTCCAGAATAAAATTTTACTGAGTTGAAATCCTTTAACATTCTTGATTATGATCAATATCACCGCAAAAAGCGATGCAAAAATCGCTGTAAGAGTCGCCCGTTTAAAAAGGCTTTTAAAAATTAAATGACACTTGGATTGCTACGTTATAAGACTTTTTCAGTTTAAACGGAATTAGTTGACTTTTTCATCAGACCAGATGTTTTTCTCCTGTGTTTTCTTGTTTTCCATTGATGTGAGAAGACATATGAACAAGAATCTTATTCTCAAGGGAATGATACGTAATATAATAATTACCCTCGCATCAGCATGTATATTAGGTTGAATTCCGAGTTAAGCTGATATTGTGTCCTTTTTTCGTTATAAAATCATAAGCAGCTCGGTATAGATTTAACTTCCCTTCAAATCGGATTCGTTTAAAAAATAACATAAATTGTTCGTTTTTCATTTTAATAGCAAATCTACAGCAACCTATTTATCAATTTTTTTATGTTTATAGTTTATTTGCTTAAAACTTTTTATTTTAAATAGCTTATATATATAATTTAATACAGCACAGGTGCATGTTACGTCATAGCCGCCATATTGGTTGACGATAACAAAGCATCTTCATTAGCTTCTCTCGTTGTGAACCATGATTGTGGCTAATTTATTGTTATTCATATCTCAATGGATTGTGAGTCACATGGTTGCACACACTCTATCAACAGAAAATCTTTACGCCACATCACGTAATTGTAGATAAGTCTTGCTTAACATGCATGTCATTGTAACATTTTAAAGCGTTTCTCAATCACGTACACGCGTGAAATCGTACAATTTGCTATCGTGACAAAGTAGGTTTACAGCTGCCATTCTGACTCTTTTTATACTGTTTTTATATAGTCTCAGGTATCTTTATGTATACCTTTCAACTGAGCTTAACTCTATACTAATAACTGATATTTCATGGTTTCACTTTGACATCATTTTCTGTATCGTGGGGAATGCTCATCAGATGAATTGCAAGTTTTTAATAGACTTCTTTCTGGTTGACAGCGCATGGTGTTCGGTGTTTGACCACCATTTGTAAAAGATTAAAGGGCCACTTGGACGAAAATCGTTCCAAAATTAAA